CCATTTCCAACTAACAGAGTCTCCAAATAAATGCAAAGAAAAACTACCCACTGCCTTAAGACAAGTACTATGTACCTCATTTAAGCGTACATACTACTTATACCTCGGCATACTGATCATCCCATAGCTGTGGGAAGAGTTCCCCCCTTAAACCAAGAGAGAACTGTTCCTCCTCTAAATGAGGGAAGAACACACGTCAAACTTCCTCAAATGCTTGGTAAAAAAAAAAAACATGGAAGCGTTACCATGGGGTACCCCAAGGTTGGATCCTCGGGCCTCTACTGTGGAACTTAATGTATGACGAGGTTCTAAGCATCGATATGCCCGCCCCCTCGGACAAAAATAATAGGATTTGCAGACGATATCGCCGTAGTAATTGTAGCGAATAATATACATGATGCTAAAAGGAAAGCCAGCGCAGCGAGTATGGCTATCATCACATCAAAATATTTAGGATTCGCTGATCACAAAACAGAGGCAGTATTGATAAGTAGCAGAAAGACCGTAGAGACAAAGTTTGGGGGTAATTATTAATGGTTAAGACCCACCTGTATGCAGCAAAGAAAGCATCGAATTTACAGGCATGTCTATTTAGAATGATACCAACTATCGGCGGTCCTAAACATAGTAGAAAAGCATTGCTTAGTATAGTGGTCAGCTCAGTTGTTGTTGTTGTTGTTATAGCGGCTACTAAGCCCCATTCGGGGCGATTCATCCATCAACGTTGTCGTCAATTTCAGCTAGGGGGAGGCCCAGGAAGTGTGCTACTTCCACAGGGGCGTTAGCTGAGTGGGGTTCTCAGGGCACAGGGGTTCTCAGGGCACATCCTCGTTGATTCTGCTCAAGTAGGAGTTCAGCCTGCTGCAATAGCCAGAACGAAGTTGGAGTATTGTAGTGCGGGTCTCCCGAGGCAGACAAAGTTTCTCCCGTCCACGTGCGGTGGTTGTGTGCCTAGAACGGCATTCACAGGGCGGGAGTCTACATAACTTGAGACTGATTCCCTGTGAATGCCGTTTAGGGCCTCTCGGTAGATTGACGGGTCCAGAGGTTGTTTGATAAACCTCTGGACTTCGTCCGTCAGTTCGTAAAGATGCCACCTGAGGTGCCGTGGCGAGGGCTCTTCCGCGATCAGCTGTCCGCTGGGATGGCCACGTCTGTGGCTATGAGCAAGGAACTGCTTGCAGAGCATTATGTTATGCTCCTTTACTGGGAGCATCCGGGCCTCGTCATGTAGGTGGTATTGGGGCGTCATCAGGAGGCAACCTGTCGCAGTTCGTAATGCCGTGTTTTGGCAGGTCTGTAGCTTCATCCACTGCGTGCTGCTAGTCCCCGGCGACCAGTCAGCTCAGTCTTACTCTACGGTGCTCCAATTTAGGCTGAAGTAATGAGCCTAAAATATTATGCGAAAATACTCGTATATATGTATCGCCTAGCAACTTTCAATTTTAGTATAACAAAGTGCAAGTTTGAAGTTGCCAAATAATAACACCATCCGCAAAAAAATTGCCAAAAATCAACGCGATTTTCTAGCAACTCCAAACTTGCATTTTGTTGTACTAAATTTAAATGGGCTATATATTTTCTAGAAAATCTGAACAGAAAATTGGAAATTAATATGTAATATTGATTTTCCTAAATTTTGCATTTAGAGTTTTTATGTTTATGAACTATATTTTTTTTAACAAAAAAGTATCGAAAAAAATAATTAGAATAAAAAACTTGGCATATATTGCGAAAAATTCTCTGGGCCAATACTTTTGTTCGTCACTGTATGTACATACATACCTACCGCAATCCATCTGTTAAATAGTTGTTTCCAACGGTATTTTATTATACGAGTATCGACATACATATGTATGTATGCATGTATGTAAACTTAATTCTAAGGCAAGATTTCTCTTCGTTTGCATTTACTAATTTTATCAAAAGTTTCTTATGCTAATTTGTAGTAAATACACCTCAGTTTGTTGCGGGTTTTTTGCAACAATTTTGCATTGCAAATTTTTTACGCAATGCTCTTTTGGCAAACTATTTTACAAATTTCTTATAAATCAATTTCTGCCAAAATTAGGAGACATGATTTTAGCTTCATATTTGCTATGGAAAGCAATCACAAAAGATAATATTTAATTTGCGAGAAAAAAAAGCAGCAAGCGAGATTTTTAAGCGGTTAAGAAGTCCAGCTAAATATGTATGTATGTATAAAGCTGGATCGAATTGAAATAAATTTAAAATTTTTTCTATGTCCACTTAAACAGTGTCCAGCGGGCTACACGCGAGGACTCAGGAGGGTATGTAATTAAAAAAAAAAAAAAATGGGCTTGCGGTCAGTGCGTATCCTAAAGTTCTGAACACATTGAAAACGACGAGCTACGGGCCAAAGCTTCCAATTTGTTATCTTCATTATCTAAACGAATTTGTATCGGTTTGACATAAAATAAAAGGAAGGACCTTATCTGGCGCTGGAAAAATAGAAATATGTAGATCTAATCTGGCCACAACCACAGTCGTCGCGTAGCCCGGTCGTCGCGAAAATAATTATCTACATAAGAGTACGTGTTAAAATAATTTGACAGCTGTGGTCAGTTGCTCGTCGTTTTCATTAGGGGTATTCTCTGAGTCTTGCAAAGCCCTTGCACGGTGCACGGATTGCACGGTTTGCAAAGCTGTCCCATACGAAAACCGGTTTTAACCGTGCAATCTGTGCACCATGCAAGGGCTTTGCAAGACTCAGAGAATACCCCTATTGTGTTCGGGATATAAGAACAAAAGTGGCGGAAATGAATCTGTGGTCCCATTTTTTTTTTTGACGCTGAGAACGTTGAGCCTACTGCAAAATGCACAAATTGTGATAAAGTCAAGATCCCGATAAATCTCGGAATCCCGGATTAAGAACTTTTCGCATACCGAAATCCCGAAATTGTTAAAATGCTTCGGGATTGAAAGATCTAGAGTGTACGTACACACATACACAGCAAAAATTAAAAAAAAAAATGTCAATTTAATTGAACTTTTATCTGCTATTCTAATTTTTTTCTATTCCACTTACCTTGGCCTCCGCAAATCCATCCGGATTGCAACTGGGTAAAATATGTATTTCGGTGTTGTTCAAAAGGCGTTGAACTTCCGGCACATTTACGTAGTTCAGTGTCAAATATTCTGCCAGAAATAGCACCATTTGCCTACCGAGCGCCTCATCGCCGTGTATATTTGCAGTCAACTTGACCATTGGCCGCAGCAGATCACCGTTTTTGTCATCATTGTAGCGCGCAGTCAATGCAAGTGCATACATTTCACGACCCTTCACCGTTTTGCCAATGGAATATTTCGTGGCGAGCTGCGGATAAAGATCCTGTAGCTTCCCGAATAGTGCGCTTATTTCACCGTTGCTCAAAAAATGCGGCGGTGGATGATGTATGAATGTTTCATCTTCCACAGGCGCTGCAGGTGCATTTGCAGCTGCGCTGACGCCAGCAGAGGTAGTGTTTGCGTCGGCGCTGTGCGAGAATTGTATGCTTGCGCATGTAATGGCAAAGCCAACTAAAAAGGCGTAAATGCCGTGTGCAGGCATAAGCGTTTTCATACACATTTTATTGGAAAAGAATTTATTTTAATTTAGTTTAACTTGTGATCACAGCGAGAAATCGGTCGTTGGGAATTATACACCAAAAAACGCACGTACACAAGTAAATTGCGATTTATGAGAAAAATTCACATGTGTTCCTCGACCTGTTATGGGGACGAATTGCTATCTAAAGCTTTTTTCACTTTCACAATATTATTATAATTAATTGGTAAAAAAATATATGGTATTTTTTTAAAAAATAACACTGCGCAACGCTGCGCAATGAAGGGGACCGCTCAAATCTACTTTGCTGACGTTGGATTTTTTTCGCTGCTCCGCGATTTCTTTGTCTGCGTTGCGCGCGACTGAGATCCTTCAGATATTTTCACACGCCCACTTTCACAAGCACTACTTGCCCCTTCAAATAAGAGAAAAATTCTTTAAATCACTTTATCATACTTTTTGTTTTAAATGCGCAAAAGCAATTTTACTCATATTATTACAGAACTATTAACAAATAAAAGCGAATAAACACCAAGAACAAACACTAAAAACCGAGACAACCAACGCCAACGACACAAACTGAAAAACTCAAGCAGCAGCTGCAGCGTATAGCAAAAGCAGCAACTTTCAAACACAAAAAGTGGCACAGCTGAGAAAAAAGTGCCTCAAATAACCGAATACTAGTAGTAACCCGGTATTGCGGTGTTGTTACATTTCATTAGCCCTGTTCACGTACGCACTATGCAATACTAATTTAACTGGTTTTGGCTGGAAGGCGTTTTCGTACGCAAATCTTGCAATCACAGCACATTACTGCTGCAGAACATTACCAAAGGATTGTTTGTGGTGCTTTTAGAGTTGCAATTGACAAACTGAACCTATTTAAATGTATAAAACGTTGGGAAAAACTATTGTGTCGGAAAATAACATATTAATCAGCTGTTCATAAAACTTGCAACTTCTTGCTGGTTTTGCGTTTTTGTACTTTCTTGCACATTTCTCCTGGCAAGTTACTGGATATTTTTTGCTGGAGAATACGAAAACACAACTATTATTTTTAATTGACACTTCCGGTAATGCATTTGGTCCTTAACCGATTCCGGTAATGCATTTGGTCCTTAACCGATTAGGTAACAGCTGCCAAATTTAACCACCGCATGCAAATCTTTATTTTTTAATTAATGATAGTTTTTTTTTGAGAGGAAATATTTAGTTATTTTTTTTTGTTATTAGAAAAGGGAACACCCTGTGTTTAATTATATGGCAAGGCGAATTTATACAAGGTGGTGTTAATAGAACAAAAACAAAAATTACAATAACAAATTAGACGTATATTGACAATCCGTACAAAACAAAATAACAACAAACACATCATTTTGACAACAGGTACAAACTCGCCATGAAACCAGCAGATCCGATAACACCACGATTCGTTCAATTGTCATTTGTGATTTTCATATGTCGAAAACAATCGGAAAATTTTACTGGTTGTCATTCGTCATTGCGAAAAATTTTAGCTACGTGATAAAAGTTCATAATCGCTTTAGTACCTCAAAAAGTAAAAATTATTAGGCAGAAAATTGTAGCAAAGTTTTTCAGACGCTCACGAAGTGCCAGTAAACGTATTTAAATGTTTGTTGAGGGCAATTTTCTTGTACAAGCAGCCGTCGCCCGAGCAGCGCAAATCGTGGCAGAGAGTTATAAGTCATAAGGAAAATAATAGTGCGATAAGGAACTGGAGCTCGGAAAACTATAATATACGTCTCTACGCAGCACATACGCACGTGTGGCTGCACTTGCCTTTGTGACCTCAGCAGCGGCCCGAAACAACCTTACCAAACCTTTTTGTATTTCTCGCTTCGAACTTCTAGTGTTCCAATTCTAATTGTCCATCAACGTTATGCCACAATCACGTGCCGCCGCAGCTGAAGCTGCAGCTACTGGCAGTGGCCCACAGCCACTCGTCAAAATTGGCCACTATTTACTAGGCGCAACACTCGGCACGGGCACCTTTGGTAAAGTGAAGATTGGCGAACATCAAATGACGCATCACAAGGTAGCAGTAAAGATATTAAATCGGCAGAAAATCAAAAGTCTCGATGTGGTGGGCAAGATTCGCAGAGAGATCCAGAATTTAAAACTCTTCCGTCATCCGCACATCATAAAGCTTTATCAGGTACATATGCATGTGTGTAAATACTAATAACTTAATTACGAAGGTCAACAATTGTTATAGGTATACTACTGGTACATGTATTATTTCTTCGCCGTCTTTGCTATATATTAACAATTGTTTTTCTCTTCCAAATTAGGTCATTTCTACACCTACTGATATTTTTATGATCATGGAATATGTGAGCGGAGGTGAACTTTTCGATTACATCGTAAAGCATGGAAAGTTGCAGGAGCACGAAGCACGGCGCTTCTTCCAGCAGATCATATCCGGCGTAGACTACTGCCATCGTCACATGGTGGTACATCGAGATTTGAAACCAGAGAACCTGCTACTCGATCATAATCTACATGTGAAAATCGCTGATTTCGGTTTGTCCAACATGATGTTGGATGGCGAGTTCTTGCGCACATCCTGCGGCTCGCCCAACTACGCTGCGCCAGAGGTAATTTCTGGCAAACTGTATGCTGGCCCCGAAGTAGATATATGGTCATGCGGTGTTATACTCTATGCACTGCTTTGCGGCACCCTTCCATTCGACGACGAGCATGTACCTACTCTCTTCCGAAAAATCAAATCTGGTATCTTCCCCATACCAGAGTACCTGAACAAGCAAGTTGTGAATATGGTATGCCAGATGTTACAAGTCGATCCTTTAAAACGCGCCACAATGGAGGAAATCAAGAAGCACGAGTGGTTCCAGAAGGACTTGCCCTCATATCTCTTTCCATCATCAATTGAACAGGATTCGAATGTCATTGACACCGTTGCAGTCGCCGAAGTTTGTGGCAAATTTGGCGTTAAAGAGGCCGAGGTGCATAATGCGTTGCTCAGCGGCGATCCACATGACCAGTTGGCCATTGCTTACCATTTGATTATCGACAATAAGCGATTTGCTGACGAGGCTGCAAAGACAGAGATCAACAACTTTTTCGTCGCCGGTTCACCGCCGCCTGTCTCACACTCGCCGAGTGAACGCGCCGAAACTATTGGACCGACGGCCTCGAACACTGTCGGTGGCTCAGCTTCGGGCACATCGACACCTAGCGGCACCAGCGGCGCAATGCGTCCACATCCCGAACGCATAGCACCAATGCGCGAACGTCAACTGGCCATGTCGGTACAGGCATCGGGTGGTGCTGCATTTCCCGAGAAAGCAGCGCGTGGCACGCCCATCAAGCGCGCTAAGTGGCACTTGGGCATACGATCGCAGAGCAAACCGAACGACATTATGCAGGAGGTGTATCGTGCCATGAAGGCGCTCGATTACGAGTGGAAGATCATAAACCCCTATCACGTGCGTGTGCGCCGTCAAAATCTCAAGACAGGCAAATACTCGAAGATGTCGCTGCAGCTATATCAAGTAGATTCCAAAAGTTATTTGCTGGATTTCAAATCACTAACCAACGATGAAGTTGAGCAGGGAGATGATGTAATATTGGAAAGCTTAACGCCACCACCGCTAAGCGTACAGGGTGCAATGCCGCAGCAGCCAACAGGCCACCACACTATGGAGTTCTTCGAAATGTGCGCCGCTTTGATTATACAGCTGGCACGTTAAGAGTTTAAGAGGCACGCAAAGGTTGAGGGAGGAACATATTGCGCTATTTTGAATAGCAAAAATAAAGAAAATATGTCTATACAGTGGGAGGAAGAGGGGAAGGTGTAGGTGCCTATTTAATTTAGTTGAGTTCTTCATTCGATTGCCACATATGGAATTTGAATTGTAAGGGAAATTTTAATATCTTCATTTATGTAATATCGCTAACGCTTTTAATAGAAATATAACCATTTACCGTTTGGAAACACGCTTTTTATGTTGCAGACAGAAATATTAAACGAGTTTTAGCTTATTTAGTAGAATCGCAATTTTTATCGTATTTTTCTAGTAGAATTTTGCGAAAAAAGTTAACTGTGTAGAGGCTGAGAGCGCATTATTTTGAGAAAAACAGATAGCAGCCCATGGGCGTAGCCAGGTAGGGGAAGGGGGGTGCTCGAGCCCCCCCTAACTTTCAAATTTTCCTTATATATATATATAAAATAGTACCCTGAAATGCCAGCTTAATAGGATCATAAATTTCATTCTGGCTACGCCGATGTAGCAGCCCATACAACAGATAACCAATTGCATATTAATTAGTATTCAAAACTAAGCGAGGATTAATCATTTTACTTTTCAGGCATAGCATTATAAAATATCTTATTCTCATTTAATAATGCTTTATTCTTAATTTCGCACATTATGGCTTACGTATGTCAACTATGTTACTATATAAATCATAATATATACTTTTAACACTAATCCAAAAAGTTAATCATCAATATTGCAGTGAGTGTATTAAAAAATATATACTAATCCTAGCTGAACAGTACGAAACTTTAAATAAAGATTTACGTACATACAAAATCCAAACCGGGGAAATTAATTTCGTTTCAACTATTCCAAAAGAACTGGACTCATAAGTACCTTCTCCTTTCATTAAGTTATTCTTCCTTACTTTTAGCCGCTGCATTTTCGAGTTGTTTCTTGCGTTTTAATTTGTTTATGAGAGTTTCTATACTATTTGCATCCACTAATCCAATGAATTTATCAACAACTACGCCATTACGAAATGCCAGGACGGCAGGCACGGCTTTTACTTCGAAAGTTTCCACCAAGTCGGCATTTGAATCCACGTCTATTGTAGCCAAATCGATATCTTCCGAATTCTCCAATAGTTCGCGCATTTTTGGGGTCAGAATCTTACAAGGATCACACCATTCAGCATGGAAGTTGACTATAACCGGATTGTCGCTGTTTATTACCTGACAAAATTATGTGAAATCGATCATTTCGATTATATAACAAGATTATTTCAAACTTAGATATTAGACACCCACCTTTTGATCGAATTCGTAGTGATCCTTGACGTCCACTTTGCGGTCATAGCAACTACTTTGCGAGATGAATTTTTGTGTGGCAGCAGATACAACGGGTGCCACAAGTTGGCAACTGCTCTGAGTACTGCTAACCAATCCGAGGATTAAATGCGGCGCGATTCCTTGAGCAGCAAATTTTAGCATCTTCACCTTATTAATTTTAAGCTGCGAATAGTTTAACACACATATTATTTCTTTAAGCGCATACGCAATTGCGAAGCGTCCTCAGTGGAAAAATGAGAGCAATAACATGAGTCTTGAGGTGATGTTACGTATGTCATTTATGAGATAAGTTTGATTTGAATTTATGCTTACTTGTTGCTTTTAAAAATATACGTATGATTAAAAGATGTCTGGTTCTACGCGTATATAATAGGCAATCGCGTTTTTATTTTTATTGAAATTACAATCAGCTGTTCAGGCTGACGTCTCTGAAAAGTGTACCTACTACCTATGACCTTGTACTTTTTCCATCCAAAACACACCGATTTTATGCTTTTAAATAACTTATTTTACACGCTTTTAAAGCTGTTGCTTATAGATTAAAAAAAATGTTCGCGAAATTTGGAAAAATTAATCAATTTATCGAAAATAACTCCACTGTAATGTTTTGACAAGTCTGAAATGTCAAGCCAGAATGATGCCATATTTATTTTTACAATGCGGGCCATAAACGAAGACAATTTGGGTGAGCACGCTCGCGCTGTCAGGTTCACCGTAAGCATGTTTGCAAAAACAAAAATTGATAGTGTTTGGTATTTTAGGATATTTGATCAAGCTCCTGTGTAAGAAAAAACTATTTTAAATAGTTCCACACAGAGTTAGTATGAATGCTCATATTTTTAAATTTTCGATTTTCAAAATAGTTTATTATGCTGAGAAGGTCAGAGAAACGGCGCGCTGGAAAGTGGAGGAAAGGCCTATTTCCTTGCACAGGAACTTGATCAAATAGTCTAAAATACCAAACACTACCAAATTCAAAAAACCATCTTATTAAAAATTGATTTTCAGCAAAAATAGCCGTCGATTTTTAAATTTTTTTTTTTTTGAAAGGTGTGATCATTTCCTTCCATATAACGCAAGATCAAAATACGGAAAAAATTTCAGTGGCTTGAAATGTTGGTGAACACGCTCGGGCGCATAATCATCGTGTGTGATCACACACAGTGCTACTCAAACTTTCCCCCATAATCGTTTTTCAACTTCCTGAAGTTCTTGACCATTTAAATCATTTCATTGTAAAATTTCATGTGTAAAATTTTGTTTATAGCAGACGGTTGTTATGTTAAATCATGGTTTAAATATATATACAAGCAAACATAATGATAACATTTTGGCGTTTACACTTTGCTAAGTGTTTGGCCAAGCTTCTTCATTTTGTGGTGTGCATCTTGATGGTGATACTCAAATGGGGCGGCCGCTATTAAAGAAAACTTATTTAGGCGTTGCTCGGACCAGAGATTGAACCCAGGTCACTAAGTAATCCTATAGAAGTAACAGTTATGCATATTTAACTGAATTAAAAAAGGATTTTTGCGGTTTTTGGACTGATCGCAATTTAATTATAACTTAATTATTTAATTAACTTAACGCAGCAAAATAAAACGGATCCGAATTATTAATCTTTAAATACTTTTGATAAGAATTCTAAATAATGTATATATACATACATACATATGTATGATTGTATTTATCTACATATGTACATATGTATGGATATACTAACAATTTATGTTGCATTAATCATAACGCATGTATGAGAACTGAAGTCGGTTGTATTTTTTGCTTAAAAATTACTTGTTTATGCTAAGTTTCGATGATTAATCAAACTCATGCTTTGAGACGGCAAAGCACAAAAAATAGTTACTATATACATACATACATGAGCGTACGGCTCTTTTTTGTTAATATTCGCAATGTTTTACATGCTAAAATTTTTTTGGTTATTTTGTATTAAAATATGACTTACATTTTAGCAAACTCCATTTAAATCCAAGAATGATACTGCGTACAAAAGTTAATAAAATCTGCAAGGTTTCAGCAAAATCGCAAACTTTTTAATACGAATTTCTAAAAAGAATTCAGGTATGCATGAAAAATTTTCAGAATTTTTTTATATGAAAAAAAATTCGTACGACAGTCAGAAAAAAAAATCTAAAAAATCAACGCGAATTTTTAGACATTTGAAATTTGCACATTAGTAAACTAAAATTTAATGGGCTATAAAACTGCTTACTCTAATTCCTTTTTAGAAATTCGTATTAAAAGGTTCGCGATTTGGCTGAAACTTTGTAGATTTTTCTTAAATTTTGTAAACAATATCATTCTTGGATTCAAATGGGATTTGCTAAAACATAAACCATATTTTAAAACAAAATTAACAACAACTACAGAAATGCAACGAATTTCTATTGAGAAATTTGTACAAATTGTTTGTCGTGGTTGGGAGCAAGATAAAAATATTTGTGCATTCACACGATTAGGACACGATTTGCGCCAAATTTTGGGCAAACGCCCTGCACTGCATTTAGACTGAACATATTCTACTTATCAAGTTTATTAATTGCACAATGAAATCTCCAAAAAAGTAAATTTTGAGTTACATCTCTATATTATTAAACGTGGAATATGTATGTACGTATATCTATGTCTATCTACTGGTTAAAAAGTAAAGATTGACACATAAATATCTATCCGAAATCGTTATAACAATTGCGATTGATAAAATGAACGCTTAGCGCAGAGCGCGCTGAGGCGAGTGGTGGAAATGTCGTCGGATACTATTGAGCGCACAGATAAGATTACTTCGCCTTAGCGGGCTAGCGCTAGGGCAATTTTCATGAAATTTAAGTTCCCTGAGAGTTTCCAAAAACAGTAAGTAGGTGCTATCGGAGTGTAAAGCGTCATCGGCACGGTCGAATGCCTCACGCCAACGTATTGTTATACCTATCTATATGCGTTTACTATACTATATGTATATAGGCGGACAATTGTTGCATTTCTTATTGGTAATCGTGTCTGACGTCGTCTAGCGACACGCTGCAGGAATACAGCGGGAAACACTATATGTATGTATGGATATGTGTGCACGAGACCATAAATATATATTTATGAACAGCGAACTGCAGTGGATTGAATTACAATTAGTTTGCTGGAAACAGAATTAAATAATAAATACAAATACAATAGTACATACAAATTTACATAGCAGTAGCTTATTTAATTTACTTAATTTTTACTACATATGTACGTATGTACATATGAAAGCACATGGGAGCTCATACATGCAATGCATACATACGTGGTTTCAGTGACCAACGCTCTCCTAAGTAAGTTGCTGGAGGAACTTACGAAAACGCAAACTGTGATAATCAATATAGCCAGCGGTTTTGAATTTCGCCTTCGCGCACTCAACCAAAACATATTTACACAAACAGAATATGCACATGGGCTACATAAGTACATATGTACATCCATTCGCGCCGTAGTTGGCAAACATATGTGATTTTTTTACCCCTTCCGCCAACTTCCTTTGACAGCCTCTCTTTCAAGCACCTCAATATGCAAACGAGCAGCAGCAGCAATAGCAGTAACCACAGCCATTACAATGTAGCACCCTCAACACCAGTCACTCCTGGCACGCCCGATTCAGCGGGCATATTAGTCGGTGCTGCGGGTCGAGCTGTTTACGAGAAACGTAATAAAACGATAATGCACTATTTTCGTGACCGCACACCGAGTCATACGCGTGCACAACAACAGCAACTATACTATCAATACCATCAGGAGCAGCCACAAGTCAGATTAAACCGCAGGCGACCAGAAGCAGTAATTTATTTAAAGGAACCACATCCAATCAACAAGCTGGCGCTACTAAAAAGTGCAAGTACACGCGACTTGTCGCGTTTGGTTGTCGAGGAAAAGCAACCAGTTGCTCCTACACCACGGGCAATGATTACACATTTTGACAGCTCAACAACTAGCAGCACCGGCACTGCCTCCTCGAGAGAGTCAACAGCGGATGACCATAAGCGACAACGCGCACGTGAACGTAACTACTGTGAGGAGTATTGTGGGCAACGTATCACCGAGCTAGAAACACGTATAACACACTTGGAACAGCAAGTGCAAAATGAGCGGACCGTGGCACAGGATCTATCCACGCGCATACAGGAGCTCTTGCGACGCGTAGAGCAGCTAAGCCAATTAAATGCGCCTGATAAGCGAAAACGCAGCAGCATGCGCAAAAAAGCGTCACAGGGAAACGCAAATATGAACTCACAAGCTTCAGTGCAGCCTTCAAAGTTAGTGGCGTGGATGAATTTGTCAAACTGGTTTAAGCAACGGCCAAGTATTGCAACGCTGAAAGAACAGAATATCTATAATGGTAAGAGGTTTAGATTTAAATTAAAGTTTTTTATTGAAATTGGCTGTGGTGGAAACGGAAGAGAAAAGTACAGTTGAAAAAAAGCGTACAAAGACTAGATCAACAGGCAAGAATGGTTTAAAGTTCACGTATGGAAGCGTAAGCGGTTTAAGCCGGGCTTAATAAGATAAGGTGATTACTACTATTTCTGGCGCGAGTTTGTGAGCATTTCATGGTGGACAGCAAGTTTTAGTATTACAAGAGCTGTAGTTCACAAGAACAATTCAGTGCTACAGCGTAAAGCCACGCCATATTCCCCAGCTTATGACTCAAACAAGGAACGTATTAGTGAGATAAATACTAACATTTGTTAAGTTATACAACAACAAAAAGATAGCAAGTGGAATTATTAGGGTTCTGCCGAGGCATGCAATATCTACAACTATAAATTTAATCAGCATTTCAATTGATATCAATTCCTAATGATAAGTATTTCGAGTAAAGAGCTAAAGTAAAAGCGAATCAAAAAGTTTTTACACCTACAAATGTACCAGCATATGCATGAATTTATTTATTTACGATACTATGTACATAATATACATATTATGTATATACATACATATGTACATATGTGTATGCTAGTCAGATAAAATTTTTAAAAGTATTACGTGTACGCAATAGAGTAGTGGGAAAGCGACGAGTTCATAAAAAATTTAAATAAAGTTGACTGAAGGCTATGGAGCACCAATCGAATTTTTTGGGAATTAACTAACTTATTCTTCAGGTATTATTGAGTTTTTCCAATCGACCAGTCGATTCCAGCCGAAATAATAATAGATAATAGACTGTGAGCGGCGATTGTATTTTTATGAGAAGCTGTTTTTCATGGCAGAATAAACTTGGAGGTTTGTCATTGCCTCTCGAGGGGCGACCGCTATTAGAAAAACTTGTTTATGTTTTATTTTTTGGTGTTGGTCGGAAACTGGACTCGAACCCGAGACCCTGCCGATTAGAAGGCCGACATGCCTTGATTATTTGTGGCCAGCGACCTAATTCAAGTTTTATTTATGCATTCAATTATGTCATGAAGAAAAGAACGCGTTTTGCCAAATAATTTTGACAACTTTTTTCATCTCATTTCTAGATGAGCCTTGTTTCGATACAGAAATCGAAATGGTACTCAAACACGAGGTACACAAAACTGTGCCGAAAATCGTTGTGGACTGCTGTGATTTGATCGAGGAACGTTATCGCAAGTCTTCAGAGCCCATCGAGGGCATTTACCGGCAATGTGGCGATTATAATAAAATGCAAAGTCTGCGCTTTCGCATCGATGCAAATGATTATGAGTCATTGCGGCAACCAAATATCGACATTCATACATTGACCGGCGTGCTAAAATTATTTCTACGCGAAATAAAAAGTCCACTTGTGAGCGCAAATGAAGCGAGGACTTTTATTGGTAAACCGAATCAGTGGGGTAAGCTATCGTTTCGCAACAAATTTATGAGTTATTGCCGAGACATTCAATTGTCATCGTTTTTTATCGTTATTTTAGTGTTAATGGATGTTGCAGCGAAAATCGAAATTCTCAAAAGACTGATCCGTACATTGCCGGAAGTAAATAGGGATACGATGAATTACATATTTGCGCATTTAAACAAGTAAGCGTTTCAAATATAATTTGTTTGCTATATCAGTAAACGATATTTTTGGTAATTTCCAATTATAGACTCACAAAAGTGCCTCTACAGCAAGTCAGCGCCGACACGCTTGCCATTTCCATAACCCCCACCATTTTTCATCCCGTTCAGAAGGGCGCAAACATGCAAGATTTACAAGAGTTGGTCAGAGAGAGTCAACTGCTGGCGGATTGTGTAAAAATTATGATCGAATATCAAAGTCGAATATTCGAGTAAGTAGTGTATATGGGCTTTGCGTTTTCTATGTTTGTGTTTGGTTGTGGTTTTGGTTGTCCTAATTAATTTTAATTCAAAGAAATGTTTGAACTTACGGCTTTCGCTAATCCTTCCCCGATACAGATGCTCGGTCGAGCGACGGCATAAACGAATCAGTGTGCGACGCTTGCGGAAGACACTCTCTCAACCGGATATGATTTTCCAAAATTTCTTTTGATCAAATAATACTAGGATTATAGATTGTTAAGTATATAACAAAAAATTTTATAAAAAATAAACTAATTTTTATTTAGAAAAATGCTTACTTTTATTTATGTTTAAAAATAGACCTTGGCTTTCTTTGAATTATCACCCACCTTATAACTTACTGCTATTCTTCCTGCAGACGTAGTCGATGTTGCGTTAAGAATGCAACGTCAAATATAGCTTCCTGCTGCAGCAACTCATCCACCTCATATTTCATAGACTCCTCAAAGGCGTACAATATGCTCGTGTCATACAGCATCATCTTACAATGTACTAAAGCCAAAATACAGTTGCGTAGACGTGCAATCACTTCACGATCTGCTCGTGGTATAACTTCGTTCAAGTTCTGCACATAACCACCGTCCCCGCCATCAGCTTCGGTATTGACTGTAGGTGATATCCATATAAACCCGTTGTTGCCGAGTATAATTGATGCACCACAAGGCAAGTTATGAAAGTGCGTCTTGCGCCGCTTTACTAATGATGGAAACACTTTGACCAAAACACCCTGTGAGAGTTTGCCATATTTCAAGCTGCGTGTATAGAGAGATAGCGTGCCATCGTCGAAGATGTTTTGCACTTCCGCAGATATAAGATCACCCTCTTGCAGGTATTTACGCATCATTTGCTCATCTTCAACACCTCGTCGGCGCAACTCGCCACCGGGTAGATTCACAGATGACAACAGCAATGCCGAGTCTAGGCGTGAGTTCGTGTTCACCTTCCAGCGTCTTTGTTGCACCTCCGTGATGCGCGCAACAACAACATCACCGATTTCGCCAACATAACGACTTTTGAGTGGCTTTATTGAGATAAGTTTGTTCACCTGCTCCATTACACCTGCCACCGAGGCCTTGATGTCATCGCCTTCAACATACGTGCCGTGTCCTTTCATGAAACCAAACTGCCCGGTAACAACTTCGCCGGGCGTGTAGAGACGCGGCGCTCTAGTTTGGTTCTGTGCCAACAGGCCCATATTCACGCGGTCAATAGCAAGCCGAATATTGACGTTGGTAGTCATTTTAAAGTTTTTAAATTTTAATTAGTGAAATTTTCTGTTGTGAAAAACGAAGGCGAATTTATACAAGATGGTACAAGGCTACAGTGTTGCCAGAAAATCTTTGTCAAAAAACTACCTAGTGCTCATGTTTCATTGACATTTTAGGCTGCTAACTTGTCTACACACAGAGCAACAATTGTTGCTTAACTTAAGTTGACCAATCTGTCTAAAAATCAAAAAATTTTGATTTTGCTCCAACCTGACGAAGTTTTTCCAACTTGCCTACACAACTGGTTGGCCGATAAATCGATCCGTGTGTAGCGAAAATGAAGAAAATTGCAGTAAAAAGCCACTACCAAATTTTAAACAACGAACGAATGCGATTATAACGGGCTACTCTTCTTCTTGCCTTATCTTGTATTAGTTGCGTTCGCTGAAATGTGAAATAAAGTGGCAATACCAGCGATTCGAGGTTATAATAATTTTAGCAGGCGCAAAGTTTGTTTACTCTGTTTTATTAACGAAATATATAAAAGTGAATAAATGATTTGGTTTGCATAAAATAATAACTGGAAACGTTTTAGTAGTGTTTTAAAAGTGGAAACTGGTGATTTAGTGCATTTTTGGCGTGGTAATTGCTCATAGAAAACAACGAAATTTAACAAAAGTTTTTTGTTCATCTTTTAAATGGTTAATAATATTATCTCCCCCCCTCCGGATTGTTATTAGGGGGGCCGAAACGCGTCGTTTGGTACCCCTCCCGACTTTTCCGCACCTTTTTTAGGGGTTGTTACCCCACCCTAGAGAATTACCAAAACCGGTTTTAGGCGGACTGAGCAGTCCAGTGTGCGGAGGCCCATTGTATGTTTTGATATAACAGCAGGGTTGCCGCAAGATTGCCAGATGGCTACAAATTTTCCACCAAATTGGGTAATATTAATTATACCCAAAAAGATATTAATCAAGATTACGTTTAATTTTTGGTAAGTTATTAACAAATGCAAATATATTTTATATATTTTCAATTCTCTTAAAGGATTCGCAGTCGATAGTCGTGAACAAGAAATGTTAGCTAATTTTTGCATTTAAATAAAATTCCTGCTTTTGTTAGCACATTTTATAAACACTTTATTCGTAAGCTTGCAAGAATAAATAATTGTATATGTGTTTGCTGAGAATTGTATTCTCCTATTCCCCTAGTAAACTTTTCGGTCTATAGCATACGCATTTCACTCAAGGGCCAAAGTCGACAAACGACCCTACTTTTTACCAACCCCTGAGGTATTGGACCATAGTAACGTGAATCTGAACTATTATCGCTGTTGTCACCTTCAATCCAGATGAAACCTCGCGGCACGTACTCCTCTGTAAATTCTATAATTTTTGGTTTTGTACTTGCTAAGATAGCAGCATCAGCGGCAGTATCTGTGGGTGGTGCATTATTCTTTAAAACGATTCTATCACCGGGTATACCGATAATGCGTTTGCATATAAATTGCTTTGGGTCGGTGGGTGAAACAGCGATGATGATATCGCCGCGTCTTGGGTTATGGAAGCGCGTCGATATACGCTCTGTCAGCAGGATATTTTTCGAATGTAGAGTGGGCTCCATTGATGGGCCATTGCACTTTTGGTTATTAAAAATGATAAAGAATTCTTATTTTTATAGCAGCAATTTATTCTTTCAACTTACCACCACAAAATCCCCGACATATTCGAAAGTGCAGTGCGTAAGGCAGGCGTACATAATGCTGTATTTTACTACATCTTTAACCTTTGAAAATACAGACACCATCCTTGCCTGAATTACGAGTTATAATACATATTTAAACTAAATTTAACTACAATTTTCGTAAATGTTGCTAAAAAGATGTGCGGCGGCGAATTAATTAAAATAAACAGCTGATTGACTGGGGTATATTCAGTGGGAGCAATATATAAGGTTAGGACCACAATAAACTTACTAAAAAGCGGTAGAACTACGGTACATGCTTTCTCGTAGGACTATATTGGGCTACTAACAAAGGAACCAGATTGCAGAGGCGTTAAATATAAATAACACAATATAAAAAATTTAGTTTTGTTTTAAACGACAAATTTTATTCATTACGAATCTGATTAATTTATAGTTACAGATTAATTTTTACTCTGAAGCTTTGAATTTAGATACATACATATTACACTGTATCTTAAGTGCTTAAAACAACAAAAAAATTTGTTTGCAAATATTTTGGTTGGAAAACCACGTTACTGTTTTAGGATGTTAAACATTAAAATATATCTCTATGTAGATCAATTCTCAATCTCAAAATGCAACCATTTTGGCTGAGTTCCAAGTTGTATTAATACAAAGCATCAGCCTCTTTTATTTCTGAACTGTAACTGATGGAAAACTAGCTGATGGCATATTGGGCATTTCCATCAATTATAGTTTAGAAATAAAATAGGCTGATGCTTTGCATTAATGCAACTTGGAGCTCAGCCTTTTTTATGTTGAATCCAAACCTTATAACCATCCATAACCTTATAAATTACATTTGTTTTGGAAGGGTTTTTTGTATTATTGGATTTGCCACTTTTTAAATACATTTATATATTTGTAAAATTCTTGAAGTGACTTTTGTTCCATGAAAATGCAATATTTCTAATGTCAATCTGAGGCATACACTTATTTAATAAATTAATACATATATTGATTTTGTTAATTCTTTACCTATTCCAATTGCGTACAACGACACCGCTGCGACTATGCAGTTTAGGGATGTCTATTTTTATTAATCTACTAAAATGCGTTTGTCGTTTGTTAATTTAAATTTTAAATAAGGTACATTTAACGCTTTAAAAATACTATTAAAATTAGCTAACTGCAATTAAGGAAAAGACTAAACAAGTATTGTTTTTAAGTATATGTAATATGTATATCAAAAATAAATAAAAAAATAAATCAATATTAACAACAATCGGAGAACCATGAGTTCGCACACTTTTTGCCAAAAGCGTTTTTTGCGGATATATATATATATATATGTATATCTTAAAATTATCTCAGAAATTTAACTATGCCAATTTATTCAGCTTTCTGGCCCCCTTCTTTCTGGCGCTTGGCTTCACGTTCACGCACGTCTAAAGAGACCAAATCAATACTGGCCACATAGGCATGTAGACAAGAAATTAATGACTTGACAACAGCGAATGGAGCCATAGCGATGGCCAAAATTCTGAAAAGTGAAAGTCCAAGGACTGTCGGTAAAAAAAATATGGAAAGATTATTCAGTAAGTATATCAAAATATTCAGACAAATATGCAATTACGTACTCAATGGTCCATATGTGAAATGTAGAAGATACAAGCAAACGTAAAAAAGTTCATTTGCACAACACATAAAGGTGAGCACATTCTTCTGATAGTAAGTGCGCATTATCGCATTTTCTTTGACGTCAAATGTTTTGTGTGATGTTTTGCCGATCATGGCGCTCCTATAGAAATTAGCGAATACATTGATTATACGATGTACATTATGATTAAGTTGAGCAGCTTTTTCTAACTATGTACTTACGTTTGCATATAAAGCCAATGACAGGCGATATCTATGGCAATTGAGACTTGGAACCAGAACATATACTTCGGATAGAAATAGCTGAGTGTAACCAAGAGGCCAGTTGTGCCACAACGATCAGTCAATTGATCCAACATGGCGCCAAAACGTGTACCTATGGAGAAACAAGACAAAATTGATTGGAAATATGTACATTATACAACAACTATTTTTTAACAATGCGAAAATTTATAATATGACTTTAATGGCACTTTGCGAAAACCCCTTAATATATTTTTTTAAACGTATAAAGTTTACGACATACAATACGACACTTTACGTTGTGAATACCCCAAAATATAATATAAAATATGTTCACAGACATTCAACAAATAAATAGATAAATATACCTACTATACATGTCGTCGGTTAAAGTACAAAGCCGCGTATCAACAAAATGCATAACCGCGTTTGTGAGGTTGCATAAATTATTTTCTTGAGAGTAAAGAAACTCATATTGCAAAACGGTTCTCTTTTTTATAAAGCAATCGCATTTCTAGCTATTTCAGGGCGAATGGATCCAATCCAATTTTTGGCAAAATATGTCAGTTACGCACTTTTGCAAAACGACGATACGCGGTTTTGTATTTTACGACGATGTATGTATGATCCTTGGTTGCCTATCGAAAATTATGCGATATTAAAATTCTGATAAAAGTGGTTGCTAATGAGCTGATAAAAGTTTTGAAATTAAATTTAATTGAAGTCGTTTAGGTTTACTAAAAAATAGATAACGACAATATTTCATCAAAAAAGGCCTCAAGCTCACTAAAATTGTTAAGTATGATGCCAACATACAATAATGGTATCTATGTATGTCACCTGAGGAACCCGGCGAACGAATGTTACTTATGCAGTATTTCCCATATAAAATTTTAGAAGCATATGCATATGTATTTAAATTACTACCATTACAAAAACATAGATACCAGCTGCTTCTTTCTTCCTATGACTTACTTTGATTAAATGCACGTGCTGCATGTCCATCGACTGCATCCAAGAGGGCACTTATGACATAGCACCAGCCAGCAACGACATAATTGGTGGACATGAACCAAAAAGCTATCAGTGCCAGCACTATGCGCGCGTATCCTGTGGAAAAGAACAAATCGAATTAGTGTTTCAATGGGTATACAAATGAGTGGAAAATCAATAATTGGTCGTGAAACAGGCAAAGATACATAGGTACACAAATTATTATCAGACGCAAACTAATTGAATTAGCATCAAATGCTTTGCCTGCTATCCGTTTTGTAATATGCAAGCCGCATATGTTTATATGTAATGCCCTTTGCACTTGTATCACATTACTTTTTACGTTGAAGACGCACCAATTAAGTTTGGGATGAAAAAGAAGACGTTATCATGTTCTGACACCGCCATTGTAGATTTTCACTGCAGATTTTCTTCCAGCTGTTTTGATGTGGGTATCGTGATCTTGTCGTTACTGCCAATTGCTTGCCGGTGAGGTGATGTAAACTGGTTTGTGATGCGACGAGATGCTTTCGTGCCTGCACTATGTAATGATGACGACAGCAACGTTAATAGCTCCGATTAAATGAAATTAATTGAATTGCGTCTTTGCCCCCTTTTTAATTGTCGAACAAGCGTGTTTTAGGCAAATGTTTCAATATTAGCTATTTAATACGCGATGATCTTTGATTTTTTTATAACTAATTTCTTATTGGAATGCAAATTTATACTGTCGGAAGCATTTCCCTGCAATTGCACTTTTTTGTATCGGAATTTTTCATCGCCAACGAAATTTTTCTACAACAAATTCAATTGGGTTCTGTTCACTGCGCACTAGCTAAGCTAGGAAGGCAAACAATGCATCGATGTTTTTGAAACATCGATAGTATCCATGAACCAAAAATACAAGATCACGCCTTCTTCTTAGTAGCCCGTTATAATCGCATTTAGGAAAAAAGTTAGGCGACTTTGACATTAGCCGTTTATTTACATTTGTTCGTTGTTTACAATTTGGTAAAGAATAATTTAACACAACGACATTATTTATAGAAGAATTTGCATAATAAAAATGATTATTCATGCGTTCAACAATTACGCGGTTTTTTTCTCGTTCTCTTCGTTGTTTACTTCTTACAACAAAGATGGCGTCGAGATTTCAACAGCTAGAAAGTGACTTTTTTCTTTCTTTCCTTAAGGCGTGATCTTGTGTCTTTCGTTCATGGATAGTATCGGTTCAAAATTCGATGTTTTCTATCGATATTTCCAATTTTCTAAAATAGCTAAATTTAGTGTTGGAAGTATCGAGTACTTTTGAGATTCGAGTACTTTCTTTACATATACATATGTTGGTAACATTTCAATGCTTAGTAAAGAAATCTCACTAGACGGCAGGACTTCATTCAAATTAATATATTAATCCCAAATAACGTCGATTGAATGCTACTTTGGAGTACTCTGTATCGATACTTTTATAAATTGAGTACTGTCGATCCTTTTGAGATGTATGCCCTTTAATGCATCGAAAAATATCGATGCACATTTCGATGCATCGAAAAACATCGATGTAATTTTGCACTGACATGTCTAATCACGAATGAGTTTTTTTGGATATTTTCATTAGATATGTGGTAGTTTTTGCAAAATTAGAAATCGACAACAATTATTACATAACATTAAGGTACAAACAGAGGATTGGTACGCTTAAACAAGCAAGTAACTGCGCTAACAACATTACCCCTATACTTTATTTAATCCGGTCCATTTCAGAGAAAATAACATGGCGCTGAAATTAAAACGTCAGCCAGAATACTTTTTTCTTTTATTTCATCTTGTCAGATCATGTGATTAGTTGGATCACGCCGGCTTCCAATACCGCGTCTGTTTGAGTGCTCCCATATACCGACAAGCGAAAATGAAGAAAATTACAAATATAAAAATGCTTATGTCAAAATCGGCCGACTTTTTTCCTAAATGCGATTCAAACGGGCTAGTCTTCTTCTCGCGTGATCTTGTATTTTTGCTTCATGCAACACCGCCTTGTATAAATTCGCCTTGGATGAAACCGTGCATTTGGCAATACTGTGGGCAACTCTGGCGGAAGCGAAGGCGAAGCGAAACGAAAAAAACTCGAATAGATTTTCTGATCACAGTCCTTGTGAATTTTGAGCAGCTAAATTCGTGCTTTAAAACCGTGAAAAAATCATTGAAAACTGATAAACTATAAATAACTATATAGAAAAAACATTTAAAAACTAAATACAAGTTGTTAAGTGAGTGATTTGATGCAGAAAATGTGTTGAAAATTTGGCCCACAGAATGAAAAAATAAGTGGAAGAAGAATTGGTGACAGTGCTGTGTGTAAATGTGCAAAGCAGAACAAGGAGTACGACAGCAAGTTAAAAAGGCGAAGCACGTATGTAGATTTTTGTGCGTAGCTGAAAGCTGTAATCAGTCATCGAGCTGTTAAAAATAGTGCATTTAAACCAACGAGAAAATAAATGTTTATCATCGTGCGATGGCGAGGTGAAACGCTTCGAAATTGCTGTAAATAATTTGTGGAAAATTGCTTTCACCAAGGCCTTAAAAACTGGACAATTTTTTGCGGTGTTAGACCAAGTCGCGCCGTACGGAAAATTGTGCGAAGTATGCGATAAGAATAAGCGAAAAAAACAGCATGAGTTTGAAAATTGTATGCAGAGTCGAGTAAAGGCATATGACGTGTTTTCCAACCACTATGTAGCGATAAATGAGGCAATCTCGGCGAGTCATGCGCGAAAAATGTAAAAGTTGAATACCAAAAATAGTTTACTTATAAAAATAATAAAAAATGCATGCGGTTGATATTTAATGAGTTTAAAAAGGGTTTTGTTTTGTAAAAACCCTTTTTAAAAATTTTCTATGGGTCAAGTATTGCAAAATTTTGAATCTTTGCAATTTTCGCTTGTTTGTAAAAACTATTACAAGTTTTCATGTTCTGGCGTTGTTTTCTTCTCAAAAACTTTGAAAGAAGGGGAAATTGAGAGAGCAAAACGACACTTGATTTTGAGGGAAAGTTGCAAATTTTACTGGATAAATTTTTACTTGTAACAACTGCCAGTAAGAAAAACAGGAATGAGTAATTTGGAATTGTAAAGTAAATGAAACTAATTAAAATTTCATAAAATTAGTAGCTACATGCTGTCAAGGTTAGCGTCGTACTTTTTTGGATAGTTGAGAGATCGCGATGTATTCTATGATTCTTGTTGAGAGATTCTGTTCTCATTGAGTGTGATTCTCGAAAATTAAGCTACTGGCAATTACTGGATAATTTTGAACTGGAGAACACATGAACAGACCTAATTCCTTATATATAAAATGTAGCACAGGTTTTCTAACCTTAAAACTTAAAAAAATGATCTCTTGCCGTTTTTTGCATTTCGTTTTGAATTCCTTCTCGGCTGCTTTCTTTTGAGCGTATTTCCTTTCGGACACCCTATTTTTGTCTCTTTCTCTCTACGGTGGTTTCGCATGCGGCATATTAAACCGAGTGATTGAACGGCGAACTCTTTTGACAAGTCGCCGTTTTTCATATTTTACTTTTGTGTATGTTACGCAGCGAAAAATAATGTGAATTGATCAAAAACTTCTAAATTCACAAAAAAATGTAAAAATCTTTTAAAATTTATAATAAAACGGACATAAAAAAAAATACCGAACGAAAAAGGATACAGATGAATAAAAAAAAATAAACGTGGTTAGTCTAGTGCCGTTCTGATGTATCACTTGGGGGAAAAATTGCTGATATGCATTGATTCTGTGTTAAAATAGCCCAAATGAACAAAAAAATAATTTGACGAAAAACAATATAGTACAACATTTCAAAGAAACTCCACTGCAGACATAGCAATACCATTTCAGTGGAAAGTCAATTGTTACGTTACGAAGAACTGGCGCAGCCATTAGCAGCTTTTGTGGTTACATACGCCAACGTCGTCATAGCCACGTACGCCTGTCGTGTGAACACCGGCTTTGGGATAACAAACCTAACCACTCAACGCTGTAGAGTCGTACTGATATAAATTGTAATTCGTGTCACTACATTTCAGCCGTCTAGAGTACACCGCCCATCTGAATAATCGTTTGTTATTTATTTGGATCCTTATTTTCTCCGTATAACATAAATAAAGAAATTACTCACGATTCCACGGCCAATCACGTTATACTCTTTCTATTTTAATGGCATTTGTTGGCCCTTCTCCCCTTCTGGTGCAGAAAAATGAACAATGAAATCAGTGGTAAGACTCTTTTATCTGTCACCGCATCGATCGCCGCCGCCATCATACCTGACACACCTATTGTGTCCATAGCCGGTGCCACTTTAAGCGAAATCACTACCACAACCACCTCGACAACCACGACACCAACGCCTATATCCTTTATACCTTCAACGAAACTCAACAAAGACCATAGTATAGCCAATTTGCCAAACAATCCAATGTCTGATGCTGCTGTCACCAAGTCAGCAGGAGGCAACGGTAACACCACTGCCAACGCCACTGCAACAAATATAACAAGAGCCAACGACGCGCTCGCTGATCCAGGTGGAATAGCCGGTAAAAATGCCACAATAGAGCATCCAATTATTGTGAATGCTGCCCATGTTGGAAAAACAGATGAAGCTACTACGAATACAACAATCGACACAAAGGTAAGTGGTGCATTTCATTTGCTCTATCTCTACGTACGTATGCATGTCCATATGTATGTTTGGCACATACATATGTACATATATACTATAAGCAGAATTAAATCACTTAGTACAACCTTGAACAAATGTATCGCTTTTACGTTGCGGTGCCCATAGAGTCCGGTGCTACTGCCTAGAAGTGAGACCGGAAAATGGCGTCACACATAAGTTTGATGATTAGAGAAGACACTGGCTATTGAAGTTTTGTTGATCATTGTGGCAGGGAAATAAAAATTAGAAATCAATAACATGGCCTTTAAAATGCTCACGTTGGGCTTGGTATACATACATATGTACATAAATATATACACTTGTAATGTACTTTCCAAATGCATTTCACAAAGTGTTCATAATTTTTCTACGCTAATTTTTAATGCCTTTATTTTGCCACATTCAGAGAACAAGTGATAGCTATGAATGTATGGGTTGGAGGGTATCTTCTACCCATGAAAATTTTATATGCTAAATAGTTTTTATGCCGGTGGTTCGCTTGTATGCTTCTATGATTTTATTGAATATAGTAAAAACTCTTCCTTTCTTAACCTTTATTCTTTGACCTACGGTTTCCAAATGACTGCCGCTGTCAGTCAAAGCTGCTTGACCCGGAATTGCATACTCATTTCCAAATTTATGCCTATTTCAGAAAATTCAAATATTTAGTCAATGTCTTCTGTTGGCTGTCGTCAATCACAACACATGATTTTTAACTGTAGTCAAAGCGTTGTATGTATATAAGTGTGGATGTATGTATATCTTAGCACAAAGGGATCGGTCTTATACATATTTATAATTGTGTATATTATCATAGTATGTATTCTCCCGTATACATAATATGTATTTACATATCACCAGACAAACGTGTACACCTTTTTGCAATGCCTTAATATGTACTTTGCTTGGTATTCAAAGTGTTTGTCGAATGTTTACTGTTTGTCACCATACCGCACCTTCCATTCGCACACTGATAGCAGATAGCAGCAGCGGTGAGTACGTACTGGTGACAAGGCAATTGCAGAATTCACCTAGAATTGTTCTGTCGTATATTCCTTGCTATCAGCACCTACTTGATAAAAAAAATATGCATATATATGTATGTACATTTGTACATATGTACATACGTACATAAAAAAAATTAAAACATAGAAAACCGCAATGCACCGTTAGCGGTGAGTGTTGCGACAACTCCCAATTACCCAAAAACAACAGAAACAAACTCGGAGGCCGGGGGGAAACGACTTGAAATGACTACATAGTCCGTTGGAGCGCACATTAAATCGTTGATGTTCGGTGTATGCCCCTCTGCGAGTAAGTAAAGTGTTAAAGTGTTTTAATTTACAGGCAAACCATAAACCACATTATTGCAACGACGCCGCGACTAAAACGAATCAAATTTTATACTTCAATACCTACGTGTATATATTTATTATAAAATACGAAAAATATGTTATAAAAATCTGCTTTTCGTTAGCATATTGTTTTAAAAATTGATAGATTACAGCTTCGAATGGTGTAAAACCAATTTATTAAACTCGAATTCAAAAGTTGGGAAATACATATGTAAGTAAGTTCAGAGACCGATAACAAATGCAATATTAAAAATTTTTTATTTTAAAGTGCATTTGCAAAGCAATTACATCGACAGTTATGCCGAAAAAGTATTCTTACTTTAAAGTGAAACTAACGGCTTTTGTGGAAATCAAGAAATATTAAGGTTATGATTACACCATTCGCTTTGAGTTGTGTGTGTGTGTGTGTGTGTGTGTGTGTGTAATAGTGCATGTGAAAAATGTATGGCAGTATAAAGAAAGAGCTGATTAATTTACAAAACATGTTTCAAATGACCCTTGAAAGCAATTATCAAAATTACCTGTGTCCAATGTAATATTATACTTTCTTAAATTTTTGCACTCTTTCACTCCCTTTTTTAAATGCTGATAGTCAGACGAGAATTTTAGTATTGATTTTAATACATTTTACTCTTCACGCTTTATATTAAATTTTTACAGAAATCTGATGTCTCAGATTTGGAAGAACCCGATTTAAAAAAGCTACTTGAAGAGGCCTACACCTATAAAACGCCCAAAGATAAAAAAGATAAAAGCGAAATATTTTTGGTAAGTAAATAAAATATATCTGTTTAAAGCAGAATATTCCTAGTTATTTACCAACTTATCCTGCAGGACTTGCTACAAAAAGTGGAAAATGAAGATCTGGGCATAACATCCACGCGTTCCGATAGTCATCGCCATCACCCACACTCTCAAAATCGGCATCAGCAAAAACAGGGCGGCTCCCTGCAAGATCTTCTACAGTTGCCACCCGATTATCGCCGCCAAAATCACACATCGCGCCACAAGAAGAACTCGTCGGTATCATCGCGCCAACGTGAAGGTGGCAGCTTGCCCAGTAACGTAAATGTCGCCAATTGTTTGCTAAGTAGCTTCGAACAGCAGGCGTCCGTCTACGCAGATAAACGAGTTCGCCGTGCGATTTTGCTAGGCGTGGAAACCGCAACAGTAGCTTTGAATAGCAATAATACTTTGGTTGGTGTAGTTGGTGGCCCTGGCGGCGGGAATAACGCAACCGGAGGACTAAGCACAAATTCCAGTGGCAGTGGCAGCACAAACTCGACGAGTTTATGCAATAAGGAGGGTGGTAATAGCATTGGTGCTAGTGTTACGAGTGTCAGTGGAGGCAGTGGCAACATGGCGACAACAGCGAGCGGCCATAGTGTCGGTAGCACCATGGCAACTGGCGCAGGTATCGGCAATACTGGATTGAAAAACACCAATCCCAAGAGTGGCAGCGGTGATTACATTATTAATATCGGCGATATGATAGATATACAGCAACAACAGCAAATTTTGCCGTCAAAAGCACAAGACGGCGGGCAGGTAAGTGATGCTTAAACTCTTCAGCAATTTTTTGCATTTTTGTTCGTTCATAACCCTTATCAGGGCTTGCCGTATTACGAGCGTGTGGACATTGATATGCGTATACCGCGTCCAAACTTGGTTCGCGATGGTGGTGATTTTGCGCCAACACGTTCGCATCATTATGTCGACGAAGTGATACGCTTTCATCAAATCGATAGCGGAGAAGGCGGTTTGTGTGAGAGTGGTGAAGTGGCCATTTCTGTTAACGCTCTTGGTAGCACACTGAAGTCAGCAGCTGCGTCCTGTTCCCTCCCGATGCCGTTAGATGAGCGTTATCGGTCCATTAAATCGGTGATGGGTGAAAAGGGCGAAGGTGCAGGCGCCAGTGTAAATTCAGTATCGACAGCAAAGAGTTCCACATCTATGGTTCCAAATAGTGGCAGCCTCGGCAACAATTCAAACAATAGCGTGAGCAGTGGCGGTGGTAGCAACAGTATTGGCATTGGCAGTTACAGCAAATCGCTGCCCCTCTCGGTAAGTGAATCGAACGAAAAGTGAGAAAAAATAAATAAGCTTCTAAAAATTTTGTCCTTCTAGCGCCAGACAGATGAGAACGGCAATGACTGTGAGCGTCAACAGCACAGCAGCAGCATTGTGGTCAGCGCAGGGCAATCGCAGGCGAAGGCCAAAGCTAAAAAGAAGCCACAAAAGGACAATACCATACCCGTCGATGTGGAGAACGAGGCTGGATATCGCGGCAAAGATCCGGTAGAGGTGTTGGTCAAATTTATCGAGAGTACAGAAGAGGACAGCAAACAGAGCGGTAGTGGTGGGGGCAGTGGCAACAGCAAATTTGGTGAAAACACCAAAAAGAAAGAACGCAGGAAGGAAAAGGTGAAACAAAATAAGATGAAGAAAAGCAACTCGCTGGAAGAGTTACGCAGTTGTGCCAAAATTGATGTAGGCGAGCTGAAGCGGTCAGCCGCCACCACAGAAAGCAACAATGTAACAATGCGCAGCAAAGGCAGTGGCGGTGGCAAGGGTACTAAAAATAACTCTGGCTCTACAGCGGATATAAATAAGAATTTCGATGGAGGTAGCAAGGAAGTAGCAGCTACGGCTGCAGTCAGCTGTAGTAAGCAGGTACCCATAGCGGCTACTACAACAGGAGCAACGTCAGCGAATAATCGCAAAGGCGAACGGCGTTCTTGGGGGACCGAGGAGCTACAGTATTTGGGCATTGAGGGCAATGTTGGCAATGCTGGAGGCAACGGTGCCTCCATCAACATTGAAGAGAAGGTGAAGGAAAAAAAGGATAAGAAAAGCAAGGATAAAGAGAAGGAAAAGGACAAAGAGCGTGATATCGAAAAGGAGAAGGGAAAGGACAAAGAAAAGGAGAAAGATAAAGACGGCGATAGACATGAAAAACCTACAAATAATAGATTGGACAGTAATGCGAAGTTGGAAAGGCATGATAGAAACGAAAAGATCGAGAAGATAGAAAAACAAGAAAAATTGGAAAAGCCGGATAAGCTGGAGAAACGCAAAAAATCCGAAAGCTTGGTGCAGTTGTCCACCACTCCAACGAAAACTGCCACAAATTTGGAACGTCAAAATAGTCAACCCGCTAATACTCCGGATTTCTCTCCAATCGATTTGCTATCGATGAATACACTAATATCAGAGACTGCGGAATTCCACGTTGTCACCAAGAAGAAGAAGCCAAAGAAGCAACGCGCTTCCATCGACGAAACGCATTGCACGCAGGGCTCGAACTATCACAACAACACAAGCCACAACAGCTACAATTATAACAACAACAATAGCAATAACACAACTGGTACAACTGGCAGTTTTGCACGTGCGCACAATTTGGTAATAAATGCACAGAAAGGCAGCAATAACAGTAATAGCGCCTCATCGTTTGGCAACCAACAACAACTGCAACAACAATCTCGTTACAAATACTATAACAACAATGCACATGGATTCAACACTTACGGCAATAACAACAATGGCGGTGGCGGGGATGGTGCACGCCTTGACTATCACAACAACTATAATTCCAATTATAACAACAACTATAATTTAAATAATAGCAGCAACAATAATCATTCGTACCAACAATACGGCGGCTATCAACAGCAAAGCCAATACCACTATCACCACCATCATCAGCAACAGCAGCATCAACAACATCAACAGCACCAGCAGCAGCAACAGCAACAACAGCAGCACCAGCAACAGCAGCAGCATGTAACTCCTAACACCATGAGCGGCAGCGCCACGGACAAATCGCGCCGCAAGTCAACTTCCTCAGTGCCACCTTCGGAGAAATCCGATTCTAGTGATCTCGATTCGGTGCATTCTTTGCCTATAGAATCAACGGCAGCGTCTGCCTCTAAGAACAAACAACGTCTTAAGCCCGCCTCCTCCGCCGCGGCGACGCCCGAAACTCCGAAGAGTGCGACAAGCCTTGGTTCACCAGCGCCTGCGCCCATTTCCTATGCACATATTGCAGCCGCAGCAGCGGTTGATCGTTGGCCCAGCTTGGATGCAGCCAACAATAACAACTCTTCGGCGACTGGCAACGGCAGCTCAAGTGTGGCCACTAGTACGGTTGAACAATCACAACAGCACGCAGCCAATGTGGACGCCACACCTGCCCCTCTGACGAACGCAAATAATGCAGCTGCCACCGCAGCAGTTGTTGCTTCCACAGCTGCAAGCTCAGCCACCAAGCCGGGTAAGAGTAAGAAGCTCGCTAGCAAGCCTGATTTCCCAGAACTGGTAGCCACTAACGCGACGGCTACGGATATCGGCAAAGCCTCAGCTAACCCATCTTCGGCCGCGGGCGCTTCAAAGACAATTTCGTATTCACAGAGTTTAGTCGCTGCGCCAGCTCAACAATCGTCCAGCAGTGTAGGCAATGCGGTCGTGGAAAAAACAGCCGGCGCAATAGTCGAAGCAGCCAGTGGCTCGGGTAACATCAAAGCCAGCAACACCGTCCCAGATGTCAACAAAGTTGACAACAACAGCGTCAGCACAACCCGCATACCTCAGCACCAAGCGACGCAACACCAACAGCAGCTGCAACAACAAACGCTACATAAATCGAAGAGTGTGGAGCACGACAGTTACAGCTTCAACAGCAGTAACTTGGACCAACAGTACCCGGCGCTGGAGAAAACAGTGAAGCGGCACAGCGCAACAAATGTGTCGATGTCACCACCGACGGCAGCTGGTTCAGTTAGCGGCGGCGGAAGTGCCAGCAGCAGTACTGCTTTAGCTGCTACCTCAATGCTACCAACCAACGCTACGAGCGTCGGCAAATTCAATTTCGCCGCAGCTGCCAAGCAGCTAGCTAGCAAAGGCGGTATTGCACCTCAGCCAGTATCAATGTCGCCGTCAATTGCGACAGAGCCGCCAAGCGCAGAGCCAGCGTCACAAACAACCAACGTGGCTGCAACAACTACCTCAAACACGAATTATTCGATGGCGACGGCAGCTTCACCGTTGGCAGCGTCATCATCAAATGTGGCACCATTAGCCACAGCGACGCGCAAGACAAAAGAAAAGTCGCCGACATCGGTGTTTGTTCCAGCAACCATCAACATTGGTGTAGGGGCGCAGCCCACCACAATAAACGCTCCTGATGCTGCTGCTACTAACATAGTCCGAAAGAACAAGAAAGACAAGGCGCAACCACTGTTGAGCGCTGAGGTGGCCGGTGAGCCACTCGGTCATGTTGCACAAAAATCCAGCACCGCCACCCAGACTCAATCGACGTCGATGGATGTAGTGGTAATGCCCAGCAAAACTATTGCGCGTTCTCAGCCGGCATTTGTGGTCGGCAGCGAGGTAGTTATGCCGACCCCTGCTTTGAGCAAAACGCAAAGACAGCATGCGAGCAGCGTCGGCGGTAGCAACAAAACCAACGCAGTGTCACGTGGAACAGCCACTATTTCAGCTACTGCGGGAGGGGCGACCACAGGTGGTGGCAGTGCCAGCAATCGGCCCGCAGTCATTATTTTGAACGATGATCGCTCCGGCGACAGCAGCGCAACGGGCATTGAGTTCACATTCGGCGATTTTAACGAGGACGAACTAAAGTTCTTTGATGAAAGCGTCACCGAGGAGGAGTGCGCGGATGGATTTACGGGCGACGAACTGCCACAGGCAGCTTCTGAGGGTAAAGTGGCTACCAAAACTGCATCCACAGCTACTTCGACAAACACCGCCGCATGCTTCAATGATTCTGGAATAGCGTCCGATATTTCGAATGCGAACAATATGTCAGCGTTTGCGGAAAGCTCCACAATGTTTGCTGGCGTCTCAATGGCGGAGCATTCAAATCCGCAACCTCCAAATACTGCAGCTGGTACTGAGTCTGGCAATAAATTGAGAGTTCGTGCGGTGGAAAGTGAAGGCGACAAAGTCAATACGCTCCCCGGTGTACAAGATACTGACGAAAGCAATGAAACGATCAGCCAGGCGTCTGTGCCGGCCACACTCGACTGTGAACAGCTACAGCAGTCATCGCAGAGGAGAAACAGTGAAACGCCACAGCTGCAACAGTTGGAAACTTGTAATGAAATTGAGACTGCGATTTTGGCTGCGGCCCGTGCAGCTGCCGAGCAGCAACATCAGCAACCAATGCAGCCACCCCCAGCGCAACAGCAGCGCTCTTTTAGGCAAAAACATCAGCAGCAACAGTACAGAAGTACTTCTTATGGCAATGCCAACATCGGCTATGAGCCGACACACCCGCGCGAGCAGCGTTCACAGTCGTCAGCGTACGCCAGAGACGCACCAAATCACTACCTGCCACAACAACAACCACATTATCATACTTCATACCAGCAACAACAACAGCAGCAACACTACCATTATCACCAAAGTGGCAGCAGCAACAGTGCTTCGCGCAGCCGCAGCAGTAGCAGCAACAACAATACTAATTCATACGATGCATCGGGCCACACACCGCCGCCACAATCGCCAAATACTTCACCATCTGTTGTGGTAAACATCCAACGCAAAGAATTCGACATACATTTCATACCGCCAACAATGTCGAACGCATACAGCTCGTTGCAACACAATGAGATCATTGTGGATTTCATTGGCTCCGGTAAGTGTTGCAAAATTAGGAACTATCACATTATTAGAAAGGGAATTTGAAACGATATGTAGGCGAGTAGAGTTCAGAAAGGGTTAAAACAAAAGATGAAAAACTTGTCTTCGTGTTTAAAAACTTCAAAAAGATCCCTACAAAATAAAATCTTCCATCGCAAACTCTTCGTTAAATTTTATCATACAAAATTGTTGATCTATAATTTTTTAAATTTCAGCTAAAAACATAGTTTTTCGTGAAAATGTAAGTTTTTGCTAAAAAATATTCGTTACAATATAATTTGTTTGTGTTTTTGGGCTGCCGCTACCACTTTTATAAATTCGCCTTAATATGGTCTATCATTCTATGGCTTTGTAAAACAACAAGTAATTTTTAAGCAAAAAACAAAACCGACTTCAATTCGGATATAAAAATTTAAGATTATCGTTAATTTCTTCATGATCCAATCATCGGATCTAAATCAAATTAAAATGGGACCACCTGTGAGGTAACACCTTTACACTTTGAAAGAAATAATTATACGGTTAACGTGGTCCAAAGTTATGCGGTAACATAGATAATCAAAAAATATATATTCCGACAAACTGATAACCTTCTCTCCTCTTTGTGAAGTCGGTTAAAAATATATATTTCTATGTAACTATAATAAAACTTGATCGAATTTATTGCATTTATGTATATAATAAAAGGAGTCGCAGGCCGACTTTGCAAGCCTTCATCTGTCGCAAGAATCGGCAGAAGAAGCTGACGGCGAATCGTTACAATGTTCGGTACAAATGCGGCTGAAATTACAGCTCTTGTAATCTTCTTGTAGTTTTTTGGGATGGTTTGATAAATTGTAAATGGAGAATAAAAAAGAAGTGGCCGTTAACACTCAAAAACGTTAAGCAATTAAAAAAAAAAAAAATCGCCAGTTTTGTATCTTTTCCAACTCATTTAAAGCCTTTCTCGCTGCTCTAAAACATTTTATAATTTTTACCAACAACCACCACTAAATTCTTTGTATTTTATAGCCTGGGAGGAAGTTGCTAAAGTGACGAAATTCTACGAAGGACAATAAAGCGCCGCCAAGGCAGCAGCAAAAAAAAAAAAGAGAAACCACAGCAGCAACATCAACGTAAGCGCAGCAACCAGCGCAACAGCAGCACCACGCAGTAAGATTCAAGATTCCAACGCTACCAGTAGCACCGCCCGAAGTACCATGTAAATTTAAGTCGACTCACTTAGCCTCATGCATTAACTGCCACAGCGTTCGGAGCGCTTTGGCTACAGCGCACCTACACCACAGTGGAGTAGGACCGACTGTCAGCTTGGCGCTTAGATCATAGATAGATAGTGGAAAGTGAAAAATAGTCCGTTTGTTGTGACAGCTAGTGCATGGTTTGGCTGTTCTAAAGAGGACCAAGTGTGATTGTAATGATACTGTTTTTTCCTTTTGGGTGGGCGGTAGTGTCGCGGGTGGATTTAGCTCCGCTCAATCGCGTGTTTTATGCGAAAAAGTGTGCTGGCCGGCGGTGGGTGCGTTGTCAAATAAACTAGCTTGTACGTATAGTTGCTTATTTAAAGTATGTAATTATAAGTGTTTGATTATATATTATAAAAAACATGAACTGCAAATAACGAAAGCACGAAAAAGCAAAAAAAAAACGGTAAAAGTGAAAAGCAAAGCATTAACATTTACTGTAGTTTACAAGAAAGGAATAAAAAATATACAAACATATATGAAAAGAATAACGGGAACTACACATAAATATATATATGTATGGTTAGCAAACAACCCCAAAAAATATATATGTATGTCTGTGTATTGCAATTGGGCTGTACATTGCTTTACGTGCTTTTTTGTCTCCTAACCCCCTACTCAAAAATTACGCTGAACTTATACAACTACTATTAATACTATTTTTAATTAAATTAGAAGTTAGTGAAAACGCTAGTTTTTATAATAAATACGAATTCGAAGCAGAGAGAGAGAGACAATGGAAAATTGAGCGCAAAACAATAAAATTAAAGAAAAACGAAAGAAATCAAATGTATGAAGTATGTATGTATGAAAATGTATGGAAAGTACGCATAACTAAAAATAGCCGCAAACTCTAAACTGGATGGAGTCTCAAAGAGCTACGAAAACATTTAAAATTGAAAAAAAAGTGAACGCATTATTGAATTGCAAACACAAATCCTTTTATATAAAATGGAGAAGAATTCCGCAACAGAAACTATGTAAAGGGATTTTGAAAAAATTTTAACAAAAAAACGTACAGAACAATTAATTGGCAGGAAGACGGTGAGAAGCGAACGAGTACTGAGTGTTGATAAATAGCTCCGAATATATCAGAAGAATAATCCATAAGTTGAGTTTAATGCCACAGCTGAGTGTCATGTATGGAATTTACGCAAACGCAAGTGAAATGAATGGCAAATTTAGCAATATTGCTTGCAGCTGGCCTATTGTGCTCTCTCGCAGAAGCTGTAATATATATTGTAGTTATATGTACATATGTTTACGATCTAAATGTACTTCTCTTAGTGTATATAACCAAATTTACACTATGTGCTACCACCGGCGCCAAGCCACATGCGCAGCGCATCACAGAGTAGGGGTTTGCCAACGCAAGGATCGCCTATGTTGGTTAATCAAAGAAAAAAAGCTAAACTGTAAAACAGAAACGCTTAAGGGTAAAAGATAATGATTATAAGACATCGAACAAGGGACTTGAGCAGCAAGTGAGCTTAGCGTTTGTGTTTGTGGGTAAACAAGACGGTAGCACAGAAACAAGTACGCAAACAAAACAAAAACGTAAAAAAAATGTATAAGTAAGCCACTAAGTAGCATAGCAAATCAACTGGACTGGTTAAATAGTGCATAAATACATACAAACACACACAGGAAAAAGAAAAAAAAAAACAACTCACATGGTTAGAAACACATATGTACACACACTTACATCCACACGCGCCGCCTATACATTAAACCAAAATAAAATAGAAGAAAAACTATAAATGCATAATAATAGTTGCATTGAAGTCACGCGATATTAAAAATTATTTATCAATAACGTAAAGCCTTGAAGAAGAAAAACAACCAAAACATTGAGAAAAACACGATTAATGAACTAAAATCCTTATATGTATATAATTTGTAAGTATTTTAAGGTTATTTATATTACAAAAAAAAATATTAGCAAGCAGTGGCTACGCTAATTGCAATCTCTAATGCATGCTGAAATACGAGAGCGACTAAAATTAGTTATAACTGAAGTTTTTTTTGGAAAGCGTTAATAATTGAAATGAACTAAGTTATGCTTAAAAAAATAATAATGGTAAAAAGCATAGCGTTGGATTTTTTTTTTTTTAATTTTGAGCTAAGCACTAGAAGCCGTTGCTTATTTTAAATGTTGTAAACTACTTTTGTACTTTTTATTTAATTTTTTTTTTCAGTTTTTTTTTAAAGGTGTAAATGTGTATATGCAGTAGTATGTAAATGCAGTGATTGTATTAATGCGTGGCTAAATCGACAACAAGTTATTTACATACATATGTTTGCAGCAGCAAATAGAGCATAACGGCGTGCATACAAAATTTTCAACAATAAAAAATGCAAAATATGGTTTTGCTTTGCAGTTGGTTACATAGCTGCATCGTTCGAAGTGAATTTTGAACGCCAGCTATTGAAGTGACTGGCCATAGTCGCGTATAAATGCGCTTCTATTTTGGAATGGGCTACTGCAATGAGAGCATACTTGCATGTTATTGTTTTGTTGAAATAGCAAGCGAAAAATTCCTAAACATTTTGGAAAATGCTGTTGGAGGGAAAGGCAGTCAGTTGCTAAGAAATAAAACTGAGTACGTTCCGATTGTCATCGGGAGCGAGTACGCCTCGCATGTTTTGATGTGCCTTTATAACTTTGTTCTTGCTTATTTAGCTGGTTGGTAAATTAAGTAAAATCATTCGAGAGAAAATAGATACAGTTAGCTTCCAAAAAAAAAAATATACATGTACCTACATACATACTTATTAATCATTATGCTATGATACAATGGCAAAAAAAGCTATCTGACGAACCGATAGCGTTCCATTGACAGCCTTTAGGCCTCTTACGCTAAACGTCAGTGGCTATTAACAACATTTTCCCATGAATTTCCATACTACTGATGCTCATTTCAATTGCCGAATACGTGATCAAAATCCTTGTGTTGTTGTAAAAGTATAAACATTTCCAGAAACAGAGTTTTGGGGAATGTGGATGAAGTGACAGTCCTTTACCAGTTCTTAATCTGGGTCGTTTCGGTTGCCTAGCCCCGACTGTCCGGAGAAAATTGTGTATGTAGTTTTTGTTTTTCGCCAAGCATTACTTCAACCTGAGTGAATGCCATCACTGCATACAACATACTCGCACTTGCGTTTTAAATAAAATTATGCGACTAATCAAATTAATTTGCTAATTATTACTTAAATCGCCTTAAAAGGAAATTACAAATTTATGCCAACAGAATTATAAATTTCTCTGCCTTGTGATGTAATTAATATTTCAAACCCCTAAGCTATTGTATTGAGACTTTTGTAATACTACCATTTACCGTTCACTTTTTTCTAATTTGTGTAAAACGAAAGAACCATAATGAAAAGTATCGACTTTAAAGCAATTCAAATGAATGAATTTCAATATTTTGTATGAAAAGTTTACATAAATAAAAACGCCACAGCTGGAATTACGATTATATAAACTGTTTAATTTTATTTATTTTTTTTGGCATTTTTTATATCTCGATGACGTGCTAAAAATGCATTTGATAGTTATTTAAATAATTTTGCCTGCGACAATTCCAAATTTCTACGTCAATTTCGCTTCCAACTTGTATGTACGTAAAGACGTTTAAAATATGTACATATGTAAAAATATATGTATATATAAGACCATGTATGTACATAAACACATGTGAAAGTACATAAAAGAGACTTGCGAAACTAGCAAAAAAAAAAAATGAAACAAACTTGGCTTAAACAAAAGTTTCCGAAATTCGCGCAATTAAGTAATCGCTGCGCTAGATATGTATGTAGATAGCATTTCATAAAAAAGCTTATTAAAAAATGGTGGTAATTAACGCAATCCAGTGTAGTTATGCAGTTAGGCAACTAAAAGTCAAGAAGTCGAAGCCTTGGAATCCAAAAAGTAAAAATTTAAATTGTAGGAGAACTAGTATGCATTAGCGTTTGTTTACTGCTGATATGTATACAAATTTAGTAAAAGGCGAGTACAAAGCCTGCAGAGAATTTACTTGTAAAGGAAACCCCCAAAAAAAAACATTAAGAACTATTAATAAATTACGATAAAAAAATATATGGTTTATAAAAAAACCAAAAACAAGAAATTTTCTACCATGTATTTAGCATAAAATGAAAAAAAAATTTCGAATTTAAAATTAAATATAAAAAACACGTAATTTCTTTTTTAGTCATAACCGTCAAAAGTTTCTTTTTACGCAATGTTAAAAGCCCATTTTATGGCAATCCAAGTACTAACCCGAAAATAAATTGAATATTCAAATTAACTTACAGTTAAAGCAAGAAAAAAGTATTTGTATACAGATAGATATGTATAGATACATATGTATGTAAAATTAAAACATAAAAACACTAATCAAAAGTTTGCTATTTGCCTAAATTTAAATACATTACGGTACATGTTTGTAATTACTGTAGTCAATAACAAATACAGCTTTGTATACAATTTTGTCTTTGAAGTTTAAAAATCGACTTGAAATTTACTAAAAAACCGCAACTGCATACATTACATACACACACATGTATTCATACTTGCATACCAACATATGTATATTGTAACGACACAACCAGCCACAGACCAGGGTTGCGTGATTTAAAATCCTTTTTGATTTTAATTCCACTATTAATTAAGAAATGTATTTGATCTGTTATTTGATTTATCGACCAAATAAGAAATACAATTTATTTGTGATAAAAAATAAATTTTATTTTCACGAAAATCACGAATAAAATTGATTTGGTCGCCAAATCAAACCACAAATGAAATGAACTTATTATTTGTCCGACAAATCAAATCACAAATAAATTTTATTCACGATTTGAATTGTCGAACAAATAAAAAGTTTTATATTATTTAGGATTTGATACATCTTTCAATTCAGAAATAAATTTTTGGATTTGGGATTTGACTAAAAAAAAAAACACGCAACCTCCTGCCACAGACACGAACAAACATATTGACAAAGAATGCGTTCAATTAGGTTTAAAGGCATACTAAAGTGTGTAAAATTGTTTTCGAATGTACATACATACATACATATGTACATATAAATTAAAAATTAAATGTGTATGTACACACATACTTACATATATTACAAAAGACTTCACTTATTCCTACAGAAATTATTTCAATAACGACCTTTTGCTTCAAACAAGAAAACCGCTTAAAATCTAAAGCCTTCAGCGGAAGTTTGGGCCTCATAAAAGTTGGAAGGACCTACGATCTTAGTAGGGATGAGAAAGTACTTGTTGCAACAGTTATTGCTGGATAAATTATACTTTATTTTTGCCCTCCGGAAACCTTGTAGCGAATTTTTATGCGGTCGTAGCCAAAACCTAATATTTGTTGTTTAATAGAAAATTTACATATCATTTGTTGTTCAGCTAGTGTTCTGCTACACATAGATTTCAGCAAGAGTGGTTTTATTATTAAAGCTAGTGAAAATATGGCTCAGGGTAATTTGTAAAAGAAGAAATAATACAAAAAAAAAATTCGATTACTTTTAAGTATTTTGTTTTACTTATAAACGCCTATGTTTTTTTGTAACACTATTAAAATGCATGTAAAGCTTAAAAGGCATTTAAAATTGTCAAGCGAACCAACTCAGTTTTTATTAACTGAAAAAGTAATTTCGCGACCCTTTCGTGAATATTTTAAATACTTTTGTAAGTTTAAGCCATGTCCAGTTTTTCTATTTAAAATTTGCACAATGAGTAAGATTAGAATTTAAGGTTGTAAAGAGCCTTAGAAACGTCCGAATATCGAATCCGATATACATAAATACATA